AAGATTCGGAATCAATCCTTCAAAACGTATGTGTTGCTGCAGGTAGAGATATTTACGGCCAGTGGTTGGCTCTTAGAGACTACTTTGCCACGCAAAGCCTGTTCATTGATGCATTTGGGCGAAGCTAACCCCAGGATCCCTGAAATTGATGCGGAGGCGCCTTTGATGAAGCCCTACGGCCCTCAACGCCCTTACAGCCTTGAAAGCCTTAAAGTCCTGACCGCTATTAACCATCATTCAAAAAAAACCGTGTTCCGCAAGGTGACCTCACGGCCGAGGCGTGGGATTGCAAACGTCGAGATGATTCCAACAGGGCCCCAAATAGGTACCCGAGGTTTAGGGTTTAGGGTAATATCGGGGAAGAGGGCCTGATGATTGTGGTATAGTATACCCCCAAAGTCTGGTCTGTTTGTAAGGCCCTTGTATCATTGTAAGCCAGCTCCCGCTTGTTCGGCGTATTATCATTCCTTAAACGTTGATGTTGAGCTGCATTTTCAGGTGCTATCAAGTCCTCTTTCCACGAGGAGTTAGGTATTCACAGCTTGAGGGGTGGAGGGTTGACTTATAAGGATCCTAAACCCCAGCGAGATAGGCTTCCCACCGTACATGTCTGTTGACTGCGCAGGAGCCACGCTCCTAAATCCTTTCAAGATACCGAAACCATTAAAGGTGAGCACAAGGAGCCTTCATGAAAAATACATCATGCGAATCCGGCAAGGAGCCAGCACAGGAACCCGTTCAGGCAACCTTCAGGAGGGTACCTGAAGACATCATGATAAAACCCATAGGAACGGTAGGAACCAAGCAACCCTTAAAGGAGCCCTGTGTGGGAACTCTTATCGGAACTTGCAAAGGCCACCCTCCGCTTGGCTGCGACCAAGGCAGTAGCTCTGTGTGCCTTGCTTTGAGATTTTTCTGTTCACAGGAGTTTTGGTTTAGGGTGAAAGGCTTCCAGGACGAGAATTCGCAGGGTGTCAGGCGCTGTAATGCATTGCCCTGTCGAGCTTCTTTGGTCTCTTTGGTCCGGGGCTTCGAGTTTAGGGAGATAGGGGATTACCCTAAACCCTAAACTTGTATTCATGGTTTCGGGAGTTTGGGGTTCAGGAGGATCTGAGGTGGAGGGTTCTGGCCGTAGGAGTCTGGAAACTCCCTAACCGGGAGCCGTAAACCCCACAATCAAGGCCGTACATCCTGGACCCTAAACTTTTCAACACTGCACACACCCTAAAACCTAAACCTACTCCCAAACCTAGGGTTTGGGGTTTGGGGGCTTCTTTCTTTTCGAGAGCCCTCGTGGAGGACCTGCTGAATACAAGCAGCCGAACGTACAGCCGGCGGGAGGGCCCAGTCCTCCAAGAGTACTTGGAGGATCATGGGACTTGGTAAGTAAGGTTATAAGTACTTTAACTGGGGTTATAAGTATAGTTACCCTATTTATAACCCTAGTTACTAAGTCCTCGAGGGTTCTTGGGATAGGTTTAGGGTTAAGGGACTTACGGTTTATAGGGTTTAGATTAGGTTAGGCTTGAGCATTTAGGATTCAGGGTTTAGGGTTCTTAGGATGTTCAGAGTTTGGGAGTTTCAGGAGAAGGGTTTCAGCGGTTGGCTTCGAGAACGTTCTTTGCAGCTTCGTGGTTGCTTGCATTGGGTTAGGCGTGCGGGTTCGGGTTTACGTACTTGGCTAAGGCAATCCTTGCTCTCTGCAGAGCACACAGGCCAGTCTCCCTCATCTTCTTGGTTCATGAGAGCCATTGGTCTCCACGAAATTTAGAGCCCTTACTTCTCAGAGTAGGGTTTTAGAGTATTTCAGACATTTCAGACTATGTCTATATAGTAAAGTTGGGCATTATGCAGGTATATTTATTTGAAACGCTGCGCGTCGTCCGCCTCGGCCCGGCTGTACGCGCATGCGGCGAGTGGCTACTATCTGCAGCAAGCTCTTGTAGGAAAAAAGTAACAGTTGGAATCGCACTTATAGTAAAAGTAATGTTCACAGCAACACGAAGCAGGATGATTTTGAGTAGTATTAGTAGTGGTAGTATCAGTACGAATTTTGGTGTCGTCATTCCGAAACACTGGATACCAAGACTCTCGCAAGCGGCGGGATGCCTTAAGTATGGGCCGTTGAGGCTGTGGATTTCGTGGGCGTCTTGGATTAGGGAAGCATCACAGCCTTTGCAACCACGTTACTCCGCCTATCCCAACGAAAGGGCGTCTAAAACAAGCCTGAGACGCACATAAAGATGCTACATTGAAATCCACTGGAGTAGGCGAAATTCACCGCCGGACCTTGGGGCTCATCGACACGTTTCCGGTGGGGTCACTGGGGAGGGGATTAAGAGGTGGGGAATAGGAGAATCCGAATAGGAACCTCTGACCGCTTCGGCCGGGGCCGAGGCGAATTATTCACTCAGGCCACTACATTACCAGTGAATGCGAACGATCCTGTCAGCAGACACCTTCGCAAGCCGAGGCAAGAAGCTACGCCTGCGGAGGAGCTGTCTAAACTCTGCCTCAAAAAACTCAGCACCCTCCGGGTTTAGGGTCCTTGTGATGTTCTAGGGCAGGTTAGGGTTCCTTGCAAGCAAAAGTCCTTACACATGTCCTTGAAGGGGTAAGTTGAAGGGGGAGTGTGGTTCAGGTAAACCCCAGCTCGCTTGGCATTGGAGGGAGCAAGTGTGTTAAATTGCGTGCACGAGTGGCCCGTGAGACTGCACACCGCATGTTAAACGAGAAATGCAGCCGTGGAGTATTGTGTACACACACACGCAATCGCAGTCCCATGGACTCAGATCACAACCCTGCTTGTTCGAGCACAGTGTATAGCGATTTGTCGCAGGAAGCAGATCGCTTGCATCAGATGGCTCTGCAGTGGGAGGCTCAGCCGAGCACAGCCGAAGGCTGCAACCGCCGCTCTTGTCGGCGAAAAGCATGCTGCTGCCGGCTGCCCCAAACCGGATTCAGATTCCGAACGCAGCTTCACTTGCCAAAGCTTGAGCAGTATGAGACCAATCTGACCCCAGCGAGGTTTCAAACCTCCAAAACCTTGAACAGAAGGCTTTCCAAAGTGCCTGAAGACTGTGCTCACCTGCAAGAACATCCCAGACCACTTCAAGTAATCCATTTCGAAGCTAAAAAGGCTTCGTTGGATGCGACATCATCAATCATCCTCGGCCCCTCAACCCTAAGCCCTAAGCCTTAAACCGACGGCAAGAGTGCCCGACAACCCCAAAGACCCGAAGCAAGCCAATTGCCGTAAACCCCAAACCTGAGACCCTAAACCCTGCACTCTGAGACTTGAAACCCAAGTCCTTAAACCTTCACCCTAAACCCTACCCGAAGCCTTAAACCCTATAAACCCTGAGCCCTTAAAAGCAAACCTAAACCCTACCCGAAACCTTAAACCCTCTAAACCCTGAGCCCTTAAAAGAACACCTAAACCCTAGCCCCGCCCTTTCCCAGGAAACCTTGGAAACCCTAACCGCACGCGGACGAGGCGAGAGTTGGAACAGTCCCTGCAGCGGATCCAGCAGCAGCAGCACTCAGAGCTGATGCAGCAGCAGCAGTCGGTCACTGAGCTTTCGGCTTAAGGATTCCCTTAATTAAGAATGCCTATAGGGGTTCCTTTAAGGGGTCTATGAGCGATCTATGGGGTCTTGGGTCACTGAGCTTAGGGTTTACAACGTTTAGCTTTTCAGGTTTAATTTTTAGGGCTTATAAGGTTTCAGGTTTATGGTTTAGGGTCACTGAGCTTGGGGTTTGAGTATCCCTTGATTCAGCAATACCTAGGGTACCTTTAAGGGATCTACAAGGGATCTATAGGGTTAGCCTTCCAAGGTGTATGTCAGTTTATGTAAGGGTTAGGGTTTAGGGTCTAGGGATCGGACTGCCTGGAAGCAGTAAGTCCCCAATCATGTTAGTATACCATACTATAACTCGACCCTACTCTAACTGCTAGCGCCCCCCCCATGTTAAGGGTTCAGGGTTTGGGGGGAGTTTTGTGGCACGCGCATCATTGCCAATGAGCTTCGTTTTCGAAAGCGGAATCGTCGAGTTTGGGATTTGGGGGACTCCGCGTTTTGGCTGTTGTATTGTGGGACCTGAAAATCAGGGTTTGGGTTTCGGGGTTTGCGGACTAGGTTCGGAGCATTGCTGGTGCTAGCTACCGCTTATGATTTCTGCGCTTGCTGTTTACACCTTGACATGTGGCTTGGCATTTCTGTATTTCGCACAGCTTTGTCTCAATGCCATCGCCAGCCCTGCTATACTAAAGTTTGCGTGGTTGTAGCAACATCATTGGCACCGTGACTGCCTAGAAAAGCCGTTCTGCTGAGCAACTAAGGCCTTTTCCAAAAGCGAGAGGTGTCGTCAGGCCCGTTGAATTCCGCAGCGAAGGGTAGTAGCGTGGCGTGTTGGCAATGTTATCGGAACCGCTCGCGAAGCATTACTTTCCCTCCTCTCTCTCTCTCTCTCGTTCTCTCTCCCTCTCTCTCTCTGTGTCCCTCTCACGCGCTCTCTTATAGACAGAGGTTCGGTTACGGCGCTTACAGGATGGGCTGCATCCAAGACTCTAACCCCCTTCCCGTATGACCCGACATGACAAGCAAAAAGTACCATCCACGGCAAGGTCCACTTTGTTGGCAATCAGAAGTATCGGCAAGTTCCGAGCGTCCCTGACCTCGAAGCCAGCAATCCTAAACCCAAACTGCAAACCCTGAAGCATAATTCCCAGACCTCTGGAGAAGGAATACACTGAACCCTTACTAAATTTCCATCAGAAAGTTGGCAGCCCAAATGCAGACTCCACGATGATTACTTTTAATTGTAGTATGATCGTTTATTTAAGAAGGGCCCCCTCCCCCTCCACTTACGACCCCTTTCCAACAGAAAAGACACGACCCTCAGCCCTAAACCCTGCCTATAGTCTCCATTGTAGTGCCTTCTTGGTTTAACCAATCATATATTAAGGATCCTATAAGGTGACCCCAAGCAGGACTACAATGAAGACCATAGGCAAACCCTCAACTTTGAGACAACCCCCATTTCGGAGGCAGAGCCGCCTCGATGACGTTGCTAAGGAGGCAGACCTCTACGGCTCGGAATGGGGAGTTCGACTTCGGGCAGATACAGTAGCCGACGATCGTCGCTGTGATCTTGGTTTATTTAGGGGTTATGGTCTTTTCTGGTTTCTGAGAAAGGTGCATCGTATAAGGGGTCTACAGGTAAGGTTCTGGGGCTTAGGGCCAGTGGTCTTCCACTGCGCTTCTTTTGTGCACGCTGCAGCCCTGGCGGTGCGTGGCCTCGTGCAGGTTGCCGAGCTGGTGTCGCAAGTGTCGCTGGTCGTGGAGAAGCCTGGGAAGGAGCTGCCCTGTACCCTCAAACCCTAAACCCCTAAACCACCAAAGCCCCAAAACTTCAGTGCCTCTGCTGCGGCATCTTCCAGCTTGCGATACCTAAGACCGTCTTCTCATTCGCGTGTTCACGGCGCTCAACCGTAAACTGCAACGGGATTGTGGCTCCGGCCTGAAAGGCCAAGATGTCTTGAAACTCTGCAGCCTAAGCCGTAGCCGAATCCCCAAACGCTTAGCCCTAAACTTGTCCTAGACCCTGAGCCGCCGACCCCAAACCCTAAACCCCAAACCCCAAACCCTAAACCCTAAACCCCAAACCCTAAACCCTATAAACACTGTCAGGAACAGCCTTCCACCCATCCAGCAGAGTTGGACAAGATTCTGGAGCGGGCAGCAGAAATCCAGCAGACTTCCAGGCAAAGGATTCAGAGTTTGGGCTCTTCAAGGGTTTTTCTGAGAATCCCCAAAGCTTAAACCGGAAATCCTAAACTAAGAAGCATGATTTCTGGAGGGTTTCATAGGAGTTTGGGGGCTGTACAAATGCGCATATTCCGAGATGCCTAGATTTCGTAGTTCAGGGTCTGGGGTTTCGGGATTATCGGGCAGGAAGGGTTGTATAGGGTCTGTAAAGCTTGTGGGGTTCACCGGGTTTAATTACAGGGTTCAGGCCATAAGGTCCTTTATGGTTTGGGGCTTTGAGGCCGTCGGTCTTGGTGAGATCGGGACTGACCAAGATCTGAGCATACTATAGATGCCTGGCTACCAACATCATTCCTTGGGGTTCCTGAGTGTAAATCAAACTTGTGCATAAGACCCACAAATGCCACAAAACCCGTACTTCCAAGCCAGGGAGTATCATGGGCTAGATGCGCTGTGTGGTGTGCTTTCCGAGCTAAGGGAAGTTGAAGGTGCCCCTAAACCCCCTGAACACTGAATGCATGCAAAGCAACGGTGCCCTACTCACAAAAGCCGTGGACTCGCGAATCACGAGCTTTTACTGCTCGCCAAAAGCATGGAAACCCCTCTCCACACAGCACCAAACCCCAGACTGTAGGGGCCTTAACAACAACCCACACCATCCTTGGGGTTCCTTTCTGTACTTATAGTATACTATACCCCAGAACCCGATTCTAATTATTAAGGCCTCCATATATATATATATATATATATATATATATATATTACCCCGATCTCGGTGAGCACATACCCTCCACCCCAACCCACGAAACCCTAGCGTGAAACATGCCAAAAGCCGATCTCCTTGAAACCTGCGCCCTCTACTCCACTCGCGATCGCACAGTATAGGGGCCTTTTGAGGGCTTGGGTTATATATTCTACCTAAGCGGAACACCAAAATCGTACAATTTTGTAGTTATAGCGGCCCCACATGGGAGTTTCCCGCAAATTAGGGATCACCGCAATAAGGACCCTGCTATTTAGGGTACTATGGTAGGGTATCCTACTATGTTCGGAAACCCCGACATCACCCTCAAATGGCCGTGCTTCCAGGCTTTCCGATCAGGACCTGGAGGGCGGGCTCCTCACAGGGGTGTAAGGGTTTAGGGTTTGAGGTTTAGGGTTTAGGGTTTAAGGTGTAGGGTTTAGGGTGTAGGGCTTGCAGGTTTCAGGGGTCTGATTTCAGGACTGCTTAAGGCTCTGAGGCGGTGGTTAAGGCCCTTTGAGGTCGAAGTGCAGACATTTGGGTATTGGTTTCGCTTCCCTCTAAACCCTAAACTCTCAATTTTGGCCTTTACTTTTATGAGGGTCTTGTTGGGGTCTAGAAGGCCATGGGGTCGGAGATTGTCGAGTTCGAGGTTTAGGTGTTGCGCATGATGATCTTAGAGGAGTCATCTACTCTCGAGACCCCAACAAGGGCCTGCGTGTTCAAATTAAGCCTACGTAGATGTTACGTCCTCGGTAATGCCAGACTCGCCACAAGCGCCGGGCATGATCAATCAGTTGTTGTTTGTATTCGGGGCCTCCCTTCCCGGAACAGAAAACTCCTGAATCCTAAACCTCAAGCCTGAAAACTTCTTACTTCTTGCCTTACATAAAGGAACCTTGTAGCTGCAAAATCCCAATCCTGAAAACTAAATCCTGAACCCTAAACCTTCCCTGCTCGCCCAAAGGGGCTTTCGTAACGCACGCTGCAGATCGAAAAGGAGCCCTTAGAAATGAAACAAAAGCCTTCCCTGAACATCCAGGCAGCAACTGGCCTTTTCAAGAGCTGAAGCTGATCCGGGACCGAGTCTCTTCGACTTCGGATCGATGGTTTACCTGGGCCGTAGAAAACCGACGCTGTTTGGGATGTCCTATGATGGTTTCCTTATTATATGGGTGGCTGTCAAAATTATGGTCCCTTTTTGCGTACCCTAAATAATAGGTGCCGTCTTACAATAGGGACCCAAAAAGGGACCATAATTTTGACAACCACCCATATAAGTCCTTAAGAAGGTATGTTGTTTAGCATAAGTAAGGTAGGGTCGGTGAGTAGCCCCTCATATTGCCCATACTGACATGTTCCCCAACTCGATTCTAATTGTACAGGCGCCTGTAGTACGTGGAAATCGCTCTTTTGCATGTGGCTGGGCCATCCTGCGGTGTTCATGCACCATCATGTTGTTTTGATTGCGGTTTTCACCAGTGCCTTGGTTTTCATGATCGTAGTGTCACTTACTATTGCTTATGAAATCATCATCCTAGACGGTCCATCAACATTTCCTGTACCAGATGCTACTACTGTGAAGGAAGGCGAGAACATATTATCGTGATCGTGTTGCCTTTGAAACTTGATACTGCAGGGCAGTTTGCGAACCATCTCGGCATGTGGCCACTGTACACCCTAAATCCTTGAGCCCTTGTCCGGTCTTTGTCCCTTCCCAGACTGCCCAAAGCAACAACGAGCAAACTCGCGACCCCAAAATGCTCGTAGGTTCGGGTTAACGGTTCAAGCAGCTATTCTTGAACTGCAGACTGTCTGCGCCCCAAAGCCTACACATTTGCAAATTCAAACACTCCAACACACAAGCCCCGTTCTGCACTTGCGTCTCAGGTCTCTGATTTCCGATCCAGCTCCGGGTTCAGCTTCAAGCCTACAAAACCTAATCAAACCCTACAAGACCCCATAACACCCTATTGCACGACCCTATAGAACCCGGTAAAACCTTTTACAAACCTTTAGAACCTTACATAACCCTCTAAAACCCCACAGAACCCTTATAAAACCTGAATCCCGGAGAAGCAGCACTCCTGACTCTCACCACGAAGACTCGGAGCTGTGGCCCCAGAATCCGATGCCCCGTAGTGCTAAAGACCTAAACCCCAAACCAAAACCCGAATAGAACCCTTGAAGGCATTCCCATGAATCCCTTATAACAGCCTTATAAGAAGAGCCCTTAAAGGGATCCCTTTCGATCCCTTGTAGGAGAGCCCTGAACCCTAAACCCTACACTCAGACTAGAGCCCTTAAAGGGATTTCCAGGGATCTCTTGCAACACTCTTCAAGGAAAGCCCTGGCGCAGGAATTGGTGACGCGCCTCGAGAAATGGAAGAGTTGTGAGGCCTCCGCGAAGCAGGCAATCGGGAAAAGGGCCGAAAAAGGCTTCACGGGTCAGGGGTTTCGGGGTTTTGGCGCTTGTTGGGTTTTGGGGTTTAGGGGCTTAGGGGTTTTGGGGTCTGGGGTTTAGTTCTTCAGACCTTTAGAGTTTAGATGGGCTGAGTGGTTGGGTTGGGGCTTAGGGGCTTAGGGTTTGTGGGTATAGGTTTTCCCTTAAACTCCCAGCCCCAAAGCCCGAAGCCCCTATGAACCCTGAAGAGTTGTAGGTAAGTAGACCATGATTAGATTGCTTTTAAAGACAGCCCTACAGCCCTGTAAGATTCGGGATAAGTTTAGAGCTTATGGGTTGTTAGGGTTTGGGACTTCAGGGTCCAGGGTTTAGGGCTTTGGGTTTATGGTTTAGGGCTTTGGGGCTTTGGCGGTGGGGATTAAACTGCAGGGTGTTTAGACCAATTCGTGGTTAAGGGCTTGTGGCTTAAGCTTCAGGGTGATTCTACTTATGAGTTGCCGACGAAGTCTGTCCTGTTATTCATTATTCCTCCTTCTTTGCTGTTGTCTTGAACTGTAAGGTGATGGTCATGGCCAAGATGATGGCAATGATGATGGCGTCACTGATGATGCTGCGCGTGATGAAGCGTAAGACGATGACGGTTACTATAGTCGGGACGAGGATGGTGCTGACTTGCTAGTTTGCAATGACACGTGCTGCTGTCTTATTTGTGTTTGCACTCGTGCGTTGACATTCGTCCTTTCCGGCGGCGACTTGGCAGGTTCAGGTGATGGCAAAGAAGAAGCTTGAGATGATTCTCGTGTGCTTTTCTAGTCCAGAACACTAACTGATAACACCCAGAAGATGGAGCCCATAGACTCCAACTCCCAGCCCGAGCTCCCCCAATCCAAACTCCCTTCAATCCCTAAACCCGAACACCTGAACTTGAAACCGGAATCCTAGACCCCATGCCCTACACCCGAACCGGAACCGAAGGCCTACACCCCAAACTTGAACCCGGAACTTCAACCTCCAAACCGGAACCCCGAACCTGAAGCCAAATACCAAATTGCAGCAGGCCATGGGTGCTCAGAGCCCAAAGCCCGGGGCTCAGTCGGTTCGAGGGTTTGGTTGTAGGGTTTCGTAGGGTTGAGGTTTAGTGCACGTTCCACCCCCTCAACGAAGTGATGAGGGTTCGGCGCATGAGCTGCAACGCCATCCCCAATTTCAATCCTCGGACTGGTTCAGGTGTCTCTGGCCACATGTCCAGGGAAGGAGGCGGCAAGTTCATCCTCGACCTTGGCGTCCGCCGCCTCCACCGACATCCCTCCTGCGACGCAGGACGCTGTGCCAACAGATTCAAGACGGAAGCATCTTGGCACATGCTTCCAAGATGACAATGACCGTGCGTAACCTGCAGACGCAGATCGCCAACATCAGGCCGCATGAGCCTGAAGCGTCTAGCTGGTCCACGGAGGCAAAGGGCGCGCACAGGGCAGTGATACTCAGTCCCCACATAAGGAAATCCCGTCATCAGTGTCATCATCTCCAAGCGACGACCGCGGGACCAAGCAAAGCCCCAAGCGCAAGATTCTCATGATGACTCGGACCACTGACGAGTCTGAGGAGTTGGAGGGCGTGGTGTGCCGATCCCAATGGGACGACGCAAAATGAGGAGATCTTTAGTTTAGTGAGCTGAAGAAGCTTCAGGTTATTCTCAAAGAGAAAGGCCTCGAGCTTTCGTATGAGAATTTGACACAAGACAATCCTCATGAGCATATGTCACGCGCATGTGCGTCCACGTAGTCTGCCATGTCACTCACGTGTGTTGCAGCAGAGCCCGCCCGGAGTAAATCATGCTTGTTCTGACATGTCACATGTATCGCTGCAGGGCCCAGAAAAGTAAACTATGCTTATCTTCACACGCCACAACAGTCCTGTCTCTGCTTTAAAGCCCCAGAGAAGGATTTCAGGGGCCCCGGTCGTTTGTAGCGAGGTTTAGCGTTATCTTTATACAGGGTAAAGGTGGCCTTTTCGAATCAGCTGCGTGGACCTTCCGGTCCCGGGAAGGCCCCTTGCAGTGGCCGTCTTCGGTCCGCAAGCTGCAAGTTTCTTCCGGTCAGCCTGCTGTTGTCGACCCCATCGTTACGGTCTTCAGTTTAGGGTTCTGTTATGTTGGGTTGGTATTTAGTGTTACTGTTTAAAGTTTAGGGGACTACGGGATCCCGGCGGTACGTGCATAGCACTGACCACGATGTGGCTTTTGTCGATTCACGGATCCAAGCTTGTTGCAAGCTACGAACTAGGGGTGTTGGTTGCGCAACTACGGTCTAAAGTCTTACGGTTGAAAGCTTAATTATCTAGCTACACGTATGTTGGAGGATACTTCTGGCATGGAGCTTAGAATCCGGAGATTTGTGGTTAACAGATCTACTAAAACTTAAACCCAAACCCGAAACTTTGCAATGTGCCTGGATGCATCATAAGCTGGGAACCCAAGCCGGAAGGTTTGAATATCAATACAATGGATGCTTGAACCTTACAAGGACACACAGGACATGTTTTGATTTGCCCATTTGTCGGCAACTTACAAGACTTTGTGAGGAATGCAGACTCTTGATGAATAGACTGAATAAGCCATGTTCTCGTTATGATGATCAGGCTGAAAAGCGGGATGTGCATATTGAAGCCCCTTATACTCCCTACAGAAGTGGGGGGTGTTAATCGCATCATTCCCAAAGTCGACGGACGAACAGATAATTGATGTTACCGTTTATGAGTGCTGAATTTCCAACCCTGCAACCCAGATTTTCAAGCCTAAAGAGCTCAATGCTAAGCTTGAATGCGCCAAGCCCGAGTCTTTTGGCGAGGCAAGATCCTTCCCTCAACGAGGCAGGGTGCTGAGCTCCCGCCCTGTTTCTCAGGTTTAGATTCGAGCGAAACCTTTAAAGAATGATGATACAACCCTTTGATCAAGAAGTGTTTACAAAACCCTAAGAAACTTCCAAGCCTTAGCTGTTGATCCACATGTGGTCACCATCCTGAAGCCCCGAAACCTGCAAGCCTTTAAGAACACAAATAAAAGCCGCTACAATCATGGAACCTTTTGAAGAACCCGTAAACAATCCCTCCCGGAACCCTTGAGAATCCTGTAACCGGTAAGCCCTGAACCCTGAACAAGCCGAGGTGGTCACCATCTTGGAGCAGGCTTTTACGGCGTGGCGGGAGCTCACCCAGGCTGCTGCGGAGAAAACGCATTCGCTGAATGGTCTGAATGGCCGGGTCCCCCAAGGTGTACGTTTTAGGGTTCAGGGTAGTTCTGGCGCTACCATTAAATAGCTTCACATGCACAACTATCCATGAGCCTTGATGTAAACCCTAAACAGGCTTGGACAGTTGGGACGTCTGGCAGTACGCGACCACCACAGGTTCTAGATCCTTTCTGAATCGCAAAATTCTGGGGTGTAGGGTCTTTGATAATCGCTGCTACAAGCCCATTGAGGAGCCACCCATCACGGAATGACTGGTTACAGCCCAATGGAACTATAACTCGGCGCAGAGTTTAGGGCTCAGAGTCTGAGAGTGTTGGAGTATGCAAAGGGTTACTAATTGGGGTTTTATGCGGTTTAGCAAAGGTCCCAGACTTAGCCAACTACCAATATACATACGCAAAACTAGCGTGGAATAGCGGGCCTAGCATGTTACAGTTACAGTCATCAATGATGGCATTTTCGGCTGGACGGCGCATGTTGATGTATCCGGATTTTCTTTCGGCTCTCGCACGGGCCCATGCTCAAGTGTGTAGGAACAGCACTGCAGCATCAATAAGGCAGGCTCCAAACGTGTAGTAAGGAGAGGTCGGAAAAATGATTGTTGCAGTATCCCAGAGTAGTACTTATTATAGTATAGTATATCTCGGAACTCAATTCTAAGTACCACGGCTGCTATAGTATAGTATGGGGTTTAAGGTTTGCGACATGGGACCAAAGATCTGCCCAAACTGTCGCAACTTCACGCTGCAGTGGCATAGATGATCGATTCATATACATGTCCCTAAACCTCCAACCTTCAGCCCCAAAACCTACAATCAGAAAGGCTCCCTCCCGTTTTCGCGAGATGGCTGCGTTGCTCCCCAAGTCCGAGTTTTCGGCACTTGGTACCGCCTTCGTGGAGACAGAGCTCGCGAATGCCAAGAAGAAGTTCGATGAGGCACAGACGAATCGTCAACTAGCAATATCCCGAGTGCAGCAGCATGAGGCAGACTGCCTTGCAGAGGAGCGTCACTGGATGGACATACAAAGCAGAGAAAGAAGACGAGATGAGGCTGCCCGCCGTATTCAGAAATGGTGGGTGCGCGTGGTCATGTACGGTACGAAGTCCTTTCCGTTGAATGAGATCTTAGAGCATCACCGGCTGCTTCGCGCCCGGCAGTGTCTAGGGGAAAACCTCCTGGATCTGCGGCGCTGTGTGCATGATTTGCATATCGAAGAAGCCGATCGTGAAAACTCATGCGTTCGGATTCAAAGGTGGTGGCGCAAAGTGCTGGCCAAGAGGATTATGAAGATCATTGCCATGTATGGCAAGGTAGCCAAAATGAGGGACATGGTGGAAGGAGCCGCTGCCAAGATACAAGCGATCGTCAGGGCCAACAGAGCTCGCCGAGAAGTTACTGTGCTACGTGAAACGCGGAGGGTGGCTGAAGAAGAGGCTGAAAGACGGCTGGAGCAAATCAAGATGCAGGCAATTGTAAGCATCCAGAACACCTATCGCAAGAGTGTGGCTGTGAAACAGGTTCAGCGACTGAGAGCCAGAATGTTTGCAGCTATGATGTCGCAAGGTGGTTCAGATGTGGATATGCCGCCTCACATGAAGAACAAGCTACAGCCTTTGTCACGCTCCTCCTGGCTGAAAGGTACACCGAAGGCGACTGCCAAGAAGAAGCGCGAAAAGTACAGCAGCTAGTTTCGGCACCCTTCCCCTCCCTGCTGTTTCACCCATGGTACCGAAAGTGCGCCATGACGTCGAAGAAAGGGGAGTGAAGGAGAGCTCTGCTTTTGTAGAGGGATGTATCTCGGGCTGTGGCTTCGGGGCGCTTGAAGCCTTCGGGCTCTGCAAACACTTGAAAGAAACTTCATGGTTTAGTTAGGGCTTAGGGATTTAGGGTTTAGGGGTTTAGGGTTTAGGGATTTAGGGATTTAGGGGTTTAGGCGTTTAGGGATTTAGGGTTTAGGGGTTTAGGGTTTAGGCGTTTAGGGATTTAGGGTTTAGGGGTTTAGGGTTTAGGGTTCAGGTTCAGTACTTGGAGGACCATGAGACTTGGTAAGTAAAGTTATCAGGTTACCTTGTTTATAGCTCTAGTTACTAACTCCCATGACCCGGACACCTTGTAGCCTAGTCTTCCGCGTGCCCAAGGATTGTGGTTCCTCCTCTTAGCTCTTTCTTTCTCGGTGGCTTGGGGTCCTGAGGACGCGCCTCATGCGTGTCTAAATTCTTGTGAAACGGAACGAAGAGGGGAGAGCGGCGAGTTCTTACTCCCGGGCCGTAAAGATCCCGTTAGAGCGTTTCTCGAAGCCGCTCTCAATCACCCACGTCGTTAAGGGCTCCAGACAACGGAGCGCGACATTGGAGGCAAGGAGGCTGGCAGGAGACGAGGTTGAAGCCTGAATAAAGGCGCCAAGGCTGTCGCAAGCAGCCTCAAGCCAAAGACAATGCCGGCGCACGTGAGCAAGAGGAAGGCTGGCCTGGAACGGATAGACAAAAGAAGGCAGCGGCGGCTCATCGAGCCGAAACACGGCCTCAGGGCCCGTCATGACGAAAGAGCAGCGGCAGGCAACCGGAGGTACGAGAGGTGCGCAAGCAGGGCTGCTCTTACGGCCAGTCTTGGGGCGCCGAAAGTCCTCGCACCACAGCTCCGGATCGAGGAGCAGGACAGTGTCAGCGGCGCAGGCATCAGAGCCCGGCTGCGCCTGCACGTGGCCAGCCCAAGCTTCAATGGTGGCCTTCAGAACCGAAAGGGGCTCGACGAAATCGGTCACAGTATCCCAGACGACATCAGGCTCTAGCGAGGGAAGACCCAGCAAGGCATCAAGGAGACCCGGATGCACGACGGCAGAATCCAAAGAATCAGGACCAGCGCCGAGAGCCCCTTCGACTTGGCACGGAGGCTGCTGCACATGAAGTGCGGGAATATCCTCGCCGGCAGGCCCAGATGGCTTGAAGGTACCCCAGCGAGTACGGCAGGTAGCGGAATGCAGCAGATGCCGTCGCAGCCGACTGTGATTGGCATAGAGACGCCCACAGCCAGAACAGAGCGGAGCGGCCTGCTCACGCGCGAGGAGCGTAGCGGGGGCTCGATAGCCGTGGCACTTGGCTGCATGAACCGCCCATGCGGCTCGCGTAGAGAACGCGACCCGGCAGAGAAGACAGGCATCCCGAAATTCAACCTGGGCATTGGGGTCAGTGACGTCTGGGCGGGCGGCACATCCAGTCAGACAAAGGGCTTTACGGACAGCTTGAAAGGCTGCGAAGGCACCTAGACGGAGACACTCAAGGGCACGCGCACGCTTCACAAGACCACGATACAAGCGGGGCCTGGAAGAGATGAGATCAACCCAGCTGTCCCAGTGGCTGACCGGATCCCGCAGGGGTGAAGTGTCTGCAACCCAGCGGAACATCCATGCACAGGCATCCTGAACGGCCCCTGTGAATGAGCCATCTTGTTTAAGCAGCGCCCATAGCACATCGGGTCCAGTAGAGACAAGCTGGCGTGCATAGCGCAGCCTCTCGACCCTAAGGATTGTGAGGGCATCCGGCTGGCATAGCAGGGAGCACATAGTCTCAGTGCTCACCTCCTGGTCCGCATCATGCGAAAGACCCAGGCATTGCCGATAGAGCGCTCCTAGACACCGGCTGAAAGCCTGAAACTCTCCAGTCTTAAGAGTGCCCCAGGCGCCGCTGCCGAAGGTGAGCCTTGAGATGACGAGCGACCGTAACAGGCAGCCCTTCCTTGCAACCGTGAGGCGCTTGGACCTGAAGACCTTAGTCCTGCCTTGGCGGAATGCAACCCAGGCGTGGGAGATACGCTGCTTGATTTCCGGCATCAGGGAACCAGCTGCGGCAACCTTGACCCCCAGGTGTTTGTACACCTCGACGAGAGGCAAGCTTTCGCCCTGGCGGTCTTCCGCTAGGACTGGCACAGATGCACCGCCGGAGAACACACAACGCCTAGCTTGCCTGGCACCTCGCCCACGCAAGGCAACAACAGCAGCTGCTTTGCCGGGGCCGAATGACAGGCTGTACCCATAACCGGCAAAGGCGTCAACAAGGGCCGACGTTTCGACGCCAAGCCGGTGAGCAACGGTTGAAGGGTCAGCAAAGCAAAGGTAAGAGGCAATGTCATCCGCCCAGACAACCTCATTGAGGGGAGCAGCAATGGACGGCCGTACGGAGGCAGTGAAGGAGCGAACGCCGTCCCATAGGACCTGCGGAACCGATTCAACACCTGAGTCACCTTGCGCCTCGGACCTCAGCTGGTCGCGGAGGGCGAGTATATCAGGGACCGTGACCCCAAAGAACAGGTCAGCCCAGGAGGACCCCGGCCGACTGCCCTTGGTGGTGACAATGTGTTGATGGTCACCAGCAAGAGTCATCCAAGTGTTGTTATTGAAATCGTGCGTCAACGATTCAAGCCACGGATCTGCACCCCCGGCACTCAAAGCGCTGGGCTCGCCAAGCCTGTCCAGTACCTCGGGTGGATGCGGACCCTCATCCCGAGGCGGGGCATCAGGGTCGCGTGCTGTCAGGCCACGGACAGCATTGTAATACGCAGCTGCAACGTCGGCAAAGAGGATCGCACCAGACAAGGAGAGGCTGGCTCGCCAGGCAAGGAAAGAGCGGCTGAGGTGGGCTCCAAACAACACCGTGGTACTCTTCTTGCCACCAATTTGCACCGGTAGCGACTGGTGATCGAAGAAGCGATAGAGCGCCGGCCTAAAAGCACGGTGCAGAGTTTTAGCCACCGTAGACAGAAGCATGATGGCCCGATATGAGGAGCAGGCAAGTTTGCTGCCCCGACCTTTGTACATCCACGTGAGGATGCCTGATTTAAGCCCAATGGGCTCGTGGCACTGCAGCCCGATTTTGAGGAGGAGTGGTACAAGGAGGAGCTGCCACTGAGTGGGGCAGGATCTGCCAAACTCCACTGGTACTCCATCGGGACCACTGGCCTTGCCAACCTTAGCGGCAAGAATGGCAGCAAGAACATCTGCCGGCGCCGGAAAGTCAGCCAGCGGCACACAATCCGGCATCGTCGCAGGAGGGCCCGACAGGGCAGCAATCTGCTCAGGGGAAGCCGCGTAGCCGCCTTCAATGTCGCTAAAGTGTTGCCTCCACCTAGCAACCGTAGAGGCTGGCGTGCTGCAGAGCTCACCTTTTGCATCGAGGAGTTGTGGCAAGACTTCGGGAGCATACGGCTTGCGCTTGCGGTGCCCAAGCAGCTTCCTGAGGGCATCAAAGGAGGCATCACGACCTTCCCCAACTTGGTCGGCGAGATCGGAGAGGTAGCGGGCACGATCGGCGCGACACCCATGGCGGAGGCTCCGGGCTGCGTCCTGTAATGCAGTGCCAAGATCTCGCTCAAGAGTGCGTGCCTGCTTCATCCACCGGGTGGAGTGCATCACCTCTGCCAAAGTGCGGCCAGCAACCCGCCACGTAGCGAAGGCAGCCGCAACGGAATGGAAACGAATGGCATCCCGCAGTTGTGCAAGCCGCCGCCGCAGGTAAGCTACACGTGCGTGGAGCTCCCAGGTGGCATCAGAGAAGTACGGGTGTTGTCGTCCGCATTTCGGCATGGGAAAGGCCCGGCCCAGCTCTTCCTGAATGTAGGAGACCAACTGCGCAGCGTGGGCATCAGAACTAACACCCCAAGGGATGAGAGGGGCATTGCTCAGGATGGCAGCAATCTTTTCTTTACCATCAGGAGTCATCATGGCCTTGGCGTTAAAACGGCGGCCAGCAGAAGCTCGGCGTCCGGCTTGGAATGCAATAGAGACCTTCACAGAGGCCAAGGCAGCAAGGTGGTCAATGACGGGTTGACCGGCGTGGATGGCTGGGTCGACCCAAGAGCATACCTGGGCAGTCTGCCATGCCTGGGGCATGCAGACATAGTCAAGTCGGCTCATGGCACCATTGCGTTTCTGCACATAGGTGCCACCAGGCCCATGCTGCGTGTCCGGCCAAGTGGACGGGAGCCAGAGTCTAAAACGATGAGCCATAGCATGGAGAAACTCACCCGCAACATCCTGTTCAGATGCGTGCTGTGCGCCGACGGCGCTCGATTCAACAGACCCTAGATCAGCATTAAAGTCCCCCAGAAGGACAAAAACCCCGCGGGAGCTGACGCCCTCAAGAAGCCGACTTGTCTCACGCCACCATGAGTCAAGCAGGCCAGCCTCGGAGCCTTTGTGGGGCCCGTGCAAGGAGGCAAAGACGATACGAACGGCACCGTTATGAAAGAGGACCAAGAGCCGGCGTGGGTCGGCATGCAGGACAACAAAGCTCTGCCGTTGGAAGCAAATCTCCGCCTGACTACTTGTCGGCGCGGTAACAACTCGGGCGTCAGTCCTAAACCAAAGTTCAGTACCAAAGTTACCTCGCAAGGCACCCGAACAGAACCGGAGGTAGCCGCCGGTGTTCACCATGCCGCTCTCCGTTCGGGCTTCCTGGACCGCCAGGACATCAACTCCAGCATCGTACAGACAGTTGGCCAAGAGCTGGGGCCGCCCAATGGCAAAGGCGAGCCCGCCTGAAGAGTGATCTCCAAACGACTTCCCACACAGGGACAAGACATTGTACGTGCCAACCGTAAGACACAGCACGCCTGCACGCTCTTGAGTGTCGGAAGCACCCTGCAAAGGCCGAAAAGGTGCAAGCAGCTGCACCGGGCTTAACCCAGCATCGGAGTC